GGGGGAAGCCATCATCCCAGCAGAACGCCGTGTCCTTTCCCACAGCCCCAATCCCCGGTCCCTCGGCTGAGTGATTTGTACGTTATGATAATTATCCGAATGCAGCGAGACTTCCTATTTTAAGTGGGCTTAGTTGGATGTGACAAGCAGGCCATAAAAGCGGATAAGTTAATTCTCTCAATTGCTTTCAGTGAAGGCGGAGGGGGGGGGGGGGGGGGGGGGCGGGGGGGGCAGCGGCCGGGGGGGGGGGGGGGCATCGGGGCTCCGAGCGAAGGCTGGCGGTGACACCTAGCGGGGGCGACCGGGACACCGCACGGGGGCGGCGGGCGCCGGGCCGGGGTCAGCCGGGAGGCAACGGTCACACGTCGGTCACATCCAAGCGAGGGCTGCCCCCCCTGGATTTCCCTCCCCCCCCCACCTCCGCCCCTTCCCCGCCGGCCCCGAGCCCCCGGCGGGAACCAATCGTCCAGAACGAGCCCCTGGCAGCTTCATTCCTCCCAGGTAATTTGTATAAATGAGGGACACCCAGAGAGGGTGAGGACAAAGGGTGGTGGAGCTGCTGGAGAGCAATGCTGTCCGGGTTTCATCGCCAGCGCAGTGATGGCACCCATCCATGGCTGCTGGCACCCACTGACCAGGGCTGCCACCCCCGGTACCGCTGTTGTCATCCTCCAATGGCTTTTGTCACCCACTCGTGGCTGCTGGCACCCACTCACCACTGTTGTCACCCACCTCTGTGACCCACCCCCCACTCATGGCCGCTGTCACCCACGGGCCAAGGCTGCCACCCTCCCACCACTGTTTTCATCCTCCAGTGGCTTTTGTCACCGCCCTCCGTGGCTGCTGGCACCCACTGGTCAATGCTGTGACCCACAGTTATCATCCTCCAATGGCTTTTGTTGCCCATCCATAGCTGCTGGCACCCACCCGTGGCTGCTGGCACCCACGAACCAAGGCTGCCACCCTCTCAATACTGTTGTCATCCTCCAATGGCTTTTGTCACCCATCTGTGGCTGCTGTCACCCACCCACCACTATTGATACCCACTGGGCACTGAGGCCACACCAGCAGTAGGTTCCCATCCCTCAGGGCTCACCAAGAAGCCCCCAGCCCCCCACCATGCCCAGCGCAGGGCCCACATCACAGCCCCTCCCAGCACCTGGTCCCCCCTGTGGGGCTTCTGAGGCACACTTTGACCATTTATTGTGCCTGGAAATTTATAATAAACGCTGTTAAAGACTTCGTCTTTGACAGAGGTAATAATAAATTCACTGTTAAAGACAGTAGTTTAATTCCTTATACCCTCCAATACCGCACAGAATAAACTATATTCATCACCGAGTAATTTTTTACCGCATAAATCTTTAAAACTAACCGTTGTAGGCTGTTGAGGCTGAAATATTGTGAATTTATTAGATATGCCCATGTAGTATTGGATTCAGAGGTTTCCATTCGAATATATTACGGGGGAAATTTGTGTCTTTAAGTGTGACAATGCTTCCATTTTCCAGAGTCACCATTGTAGGCAGCGGTTCCTTTGGAGTCAGCCGTGCTGTTATCGGGAATAGATTTAGTGATGGAGGGTTGAAGGGGGATGGGGGGGGTGTATAACAGTGCCCCGTTTGGAACAGGAGGCCAAAAAAAACCCCAACCAACCCAGCTTTTTTTGCACTGTACCCAACGGGCAGCGCTGTTCTGTGTGGCGGATGGGTGTGAGTTGCTTCGATTTGGGATGGAGCAGCAATTGAGGGAGTGATGGGGGGAAAGTGAGGGCCAAGTGTCGGCATGTGGGCAGAATAAGGCCCATAGGTGGCACGGCTTTGCCAAAAGGTGACGGCCATCCTTGCCACCCCCTCCTCCCCTGTTGCCTTTGCTAACGTGGATGAGCAGCAGACAGCAGAGAGCTTTGTTCGTTAGAGACGGAGCTAATTATAAAACCGTCTCCCGGTTCACGAGGCGCGGGTAACATTTAAAGCAATGGATGCTGTAACATTTAAAGCTGTTCCATCGCCAAATGTCACGCACTGCTTTCATTCGAGATGAGTTTATGTGGATGGATGGAACCGAACGTCCCGCTCCTGGGCACCAAAAGTTTCCCTTTGCCATAATTCTCCTTCAGGAATCCAACGCTGAGCCATTCCCAAAGGTGTAACCCCAACATCCCAACCCTTCCAGTGCTCCTCTATGGGACAAGCAGCAAATCAGTGGTTAAAAATGAGAGATTCTGACAACTGACAGCCAACAAAGCGCCGTGCACCAAAAATCCCTCCGTCCAAAGCTCTCTCCTCTCCTCCTGCTTTCCTCCTCCGAGCTGCTCCATCTGTAAACAAACAAACATCTCAGTTTTATGGCCCTTTGCTTTGCACCACCGAGGGGTGGAGGGGAGGGGGGGGGAGGGGGGGGGGGTGTAGTGGAATGCCTAAGTAAGACTTTAATTCCAAATTCATTTAGGCGATAGCGCTGAAGTTGTCACAAACCATAATGCAGTATTTAATTAAAATAACAGAAGTGGATCTTAGATATGTCCTGGGGTAGCTATCACCAAATTACAGCTCTCCGTGCCGTATTTATGAGGCGGTGCAGCTGGGTGGATGCACAGCACTCACACTCCAGACCCGGCAGCTCTGTGCCTTCCTCTCCCCATCCCCATTCCCCCCATCAAGTGAGGTTTCCCCTTCGGCTGCATTGCATCCAGGATGGCTCCTGGGATGATGGGCGAAGGATGGGATCCAAGGAGCAGAAACCCCAAATCCCAACACGGGGAGGAAGAGAGGATTTGCGCCGTGCCCGGTGACCCCGGGGGGGGGGGGGGGATGGTTGAATTCCCCCCCTCCCCTGCTGCTCCCATCCCTCTGCTCACAGCTCGGCTCCTCGCACGCGGGCGCACACATGTGCACAGTTACCACCAGCCCTCTTCACAGGTCACGGGCAGAGCCGAACGCGGGCGGCTGCTCGCTTCCATCAGGCTTTAAAGGCGAAAATAATTGGCTGCAGAACAAATTTAGGAAATGGAGTGTGCGATAAAGCAAATAAAAAGAGCTCCATCCTCCAGCCCACCCCCACCCCCCCCTCCCTCTCCGCTCAGCACCGGGGATGGGAGCGATCCGGGCGCTGTTGTACCTCCCGTGCAACTTCACCATTAGAGTTGCACCTACAGCTAGGGAAGTTTGTCCGTGAAAAATGGTCATTTTGTTTCCCCTGCTCAAAGCACGTTATTAAAATGCTAATTTAAAAGAAAAAGGAGTTAAATATCTAGCGGTGGTGCAGTCTAATTGCAGCCATAATGAGCTCTCTAAATGTGAGTGCCCCTGACACACAGAGAGCATAAACAGCCAGCAAACACATCATTAGTGCTCGCGTTCATTTATTCTGGCGACCTGACGATGACCCCGCGAGGGTCGGGAGGAGCAGGTGGATCCGGCTGCGGCCCCGGGGGGCAGGAAGCGATGCTGCTGCCATGGCAACGGCGGGAGGGGGACTGAAATGGGGATGGGGATGGGGAGAGGGCTGGAGGTGGACAGGGATGGGGATGGGGACGTGGGGATAGGGGTGGGGATGGGGAGAGGGATGGAAATAGGGACATGGATGGAGATGGGGATAAGCACGATGATGGGGACAGGGATGGGGATGGGGATGGGGATGGGGAGAGGCAGGGATGGGGACAGAGGACAGGGATAGGGATGGGGAGAGGGCTGTAGGTAGGATAGGGATAGGGATAGGGATAGGGATAGGGATAGGGATAGGGATAGGGATAGGGATAGGGATAGGGATAGGGATA